AATAATTGAGTAAAGAATTCTTTATCTGCGGTGATAAGTTCTTCCGATACAGGTTCACTAGTTGAAGGTAACCATTCTAAAACTTTTTTGCATTTATCTACATTCTCTTGATGACCCCTGACTTGGCTTTCCCAGATAAGTCTTTCTCTCTGCTCTTGCTTTTTTAGTTCTTCCAAGAGTTCTTCTTGCTCTTTAATTTCCTGATTTATCTCTTCCTGTCCTTCAGTTGGTAGGAGGGCTTTTCTTTGTTTTAAATCAGTTAAAAGTTTTTCCTTAGTTTCTATTTGTCCCCTTCGAACTCCATAATCTAGGCTGTTGAGGGAGGTGAGGGAGGATTCATCTAACATGAATTTCTCTAGGGCATCTCTTAAGAGGGGTTGATTTTGACTCAAGATGAGTCACTTAGGGTTGGACTTGAGTTTTTCTAATAAAGATTTTAATTGGTTTAGCATATTAGTTTGCCTTCTTGTCCTGATGGTCTCTCTGTTCCTATCGGACAATAATTGAGTATTTCTTTTTGCTGTTTGACATCTACTTCTTAAACACTCTTTTCTCTTGATTGCAATATAATACCTCGTCACCATAATAATGAACTAATGATTGATTACAGTAAGGACAAGAGCGATTAGTTAGTAAATATTTTCATGGAGATAGGAGCAATGGCAATAGGAACAGGGAGTAGAGCAGTGAGAACAAAATAATTTAATCATTGAATTTACGTCATAATCACCCCACCACTATCACAATCAATAATCCCCCTCCCCCATACCACAATACTTCTTTCCAAGACACTTTCTGATACCAAGAACTCTCTTTCATCTTTTTAACTTCCTCTCAACTAGTTAATAAATTACTCATTAATCCATATTCCTTAGTTAGTTGCTTTTTTTCTTCTTTTTCCAACAATTCATACTCTTTTAATCAATTACGAACTATTGAGTCATAACCTTTTTGTTTTATGAGGTCATAGTTGAGGTTGATTAAAGCCTCACTTATGAGTTTTAAGAGGAGTTCTTCTTGGGTGAGGAAGTTTTGGAGTTTTTTGGCTCGGGTGGTTTGAAGGGTTCAGTCGGTGAATATTTTTCCTAAAGTGGTTCAAGTAGGAGGGGAGATTTCTGCTTCTATTTCTTTTTTACCGAAGTGGGTTTGTTGTCGATTAGGGAACAATTGTTGTCAGGTTATTAAGCCTGACTCGGAGTAGAGTTCTAATTCTGGTAGAGGGTGATATTCTTCATTCTCTAAAGAAGAGTAAGTAGGGAGATTGTCGATGCTTTCTATTAAGTTGGTGAGGGCTTGGATTAGTTCTGCTTCTTTAGTTGGGGAGTATTTAGATTTAGCATCCGGACTAAGAAGGTAAGCATCTTCATTTTCTTCGTCTGTTTGGAGGATTTTAGTTTGTAAGTAGTTTTTGTATTGTTGTCAATTCATTTAAATTATATAATATATTTTTAGTTAATAGTTAGTTAAATGTCATTTAATTAATATATAGTTAAAATATAAATATATATGAACGCAACCCAAGAAACTCCAAATTGGAGTAAATTAACCAAATAATATGATCCTCAACCTCATCCCATTACTAGTAGTAGCAGTTGCTGGCTATTATATTTTCATAAAATTTATAGCAGGAAAGTTAGATTGTCCCGCTAACAATCCTAACGTCCAAGGCTTAGAAAAAGAAGAAATAAAAGCTGCGATAAAAGAAGGCGAAACTAAGCAAAAGGAATTAAAAGATGAAATTAAAGAGTTAGATAAGGAGAGAAAGGAAATCCTCTCCGGTTCAGATTCCGAAAAGAATGAGAAAGCCAAAGAGAAATTAGAAAGTAAAGAAGAGAAGATGAAAGAATTACAAGAAATAGAGACTAATCTCCAAGATTTAAAAACTGTTGACAAGGGAGGTTGAAAATCCCACCTTCCTAATAAACTCTCCTGGAATAATGGCTTATGATTAGGAGGCTTTTTAATAGCTTTATATCTGATATATAAGATATGTGTGGGGGTGTTTAGGAGTGTTTTTAGAAGTATTGGATTTGAAGAGTAATTATGGCGATTTTAGCAGCACTATTACCCATCATCAAAGTAGTCGCCTGACCCCTAGTCACCTACTTCTTAGCCAAGCCCATCATCGAAAAATGAGGTTCTACCCCTAACAACCGTGCCTCAGAAGCCGGCATCTCCCCCCGTGAAATTTACGAATACTCCCGTAAAAGTAAGCAAGAAAAGTTGGACTATATAAAAGATAAAACCGAAGAAAAAGCTAAGGAACTCAAAGAAGAAAATGAAAAGATAAAAGAGGAAATCAAGAAATTAGAAAAGAGATTATTACAAGAAACTGAGGAATGAAAAAATGAAAGCGATCCCACCGAAAAGGCTAAAAAATTAGCCACTATGGAAGCCACACAAAAAGAACTGAGCGAGGCCAAAAAGCAGTTAGATAAGAATGAAAGCATTATTAAGAAGAATGAAACTGATATTGCTAAACTATATGATGAACTAAGCAAAGGTGCCGAAATTTTAACGGAAGAGCAAATCAAATCCAAAAATAATAGTCCTGACCTGAACTCCTGATTAAACTGGGGAATTATTGCAGTAGCAGTAATTGTAGCAATATTAATAGTGAAATTTATTTTTAGTTTATTTAAAAAATTAACCCAAGGAATTGAATAATTATGGCATTTTGAAGTAGTGTAAAAAAAGGTTTAAGAGCAGCCACCGCTCCGGTGGTCTATGTGTGTAGTGGGTTTGATGGCGATGCCACAGTTAATTATGTTAGGGGTTCAGATGGTGAGAGGGATACTAATACTGTTAGTAAGTCACAAAATAAACTCAATCATTTACTCAGCGACAACCAAGAGAAAATAATTAAACGATTGGAAGATTTAGAAAAGAAAACTGGACAACTCCAGCCTATAGACCGCATTAAAGATACGCAAAAATTAAGTCCCGAAGAATTAAAAGACTTATTAGACAAAGCTCGCCAGGCTTCTCCGGAAGAAAGAAAAAGGATAATGGATGAGATTATTACTAAAACCCGTCAGGAACAAGAGGCAATTAATAAGATATTGCAAGAAGATAGAAATAAGCAAGAAAAGAAAATGTTAAAAACTTTGGAAGAGGCCAAACAAGCCGAACAGCAAGGTGATAAAATTAAAGCGTCTCAACTATTTGCCGAGGCTCGTCAACATCAGCAAACTATTAATACTCAAAATGAATTAATTGCCGAGTTAAAGAAAAAGCAAGTTGAAAGGGAAAAAATGGCTAAGGAATTAACTCAGGAAATAGATAACCCCTGGTATAAAGATTTGAATTTCTCTTCATGGCAGGTTTGGATAATTTTGCTGGCTAGTTTAATTTTCTTATACTTGCTTTACCGAGCCTGCAAATGAGCCTACGGAAAATTCTTTAGTAGCGAATAATCATGACTTACGAAATAACTCTCCAAGACTTCTGCTCCATAGTCACTAACCCCCGTTGTCAAGGTAAAGAAATAGAAAATGGCCTAGCCAAAGAAGGTCACTCCAATTGTAACTGATGCAAAGGTAATTATTTTGTCGGAGGCGAGTGTAATTATGGAGGACAGCATAAAATGAGTGATGACTTAAAGCAAATTAATCAGAATTTTAGGGCTTTTGATGTTTTAGTCAAACAGCAAGTAAAGTTAAGTAAGAGTAAGAATGAATCAGAATTTAACCAAAGTAAAAAATCCCTCCTCAACTCTTTCAAATCTCTAAAAGAAAAGTGCGAGGATGAAAGTGGAGTTGGTTTCTTCTACGGCTCTTGCGTCGGTCTTGATGGTTCCCAATCCCAATTCTCCACTCGTATCAAAGATGCTTTTAAAAGACTTAGCCGAGAACTAAACCACTACATGAACATGATTTCTCAAACTACCTGAGAACAATTACATAAATTTCAAGGGAAATTAAAACAATTAGATAAACTAAACACAGAGGCCACCCAACTAACTGAAGATTGGAAAAATGAAAAAGACCCGATAAAAAAAGCTAAATTATTTGCTCTTCTTAGTCAAAAAAATCAAGAAATCAAAAGACTAAGAGAAGAATTAAAAACTGACCCTACTTTTGCTATTTTTACTCAGGAAAAAAATGATGAGTTGGCTAATATTGTGAAGAATATTTTTCAAGGGAATGCTAGTTTTTTTAGTTGGAAGAAGAAAGGGGATAAGGGTAAAAATAACGAAGGTTTACAATCAAAGAAATATTTAGGTTTTATCCCCCATGAGACCGGCAAAAATGCTTTGTTAATTACTGGGGGATTATTAGGATTATTTTTAATTTGGAGATTAGTTAGAAAAAAGTTTAACGATTAATATTATGTTAGGTTTTTTTAAAAAAATAATTGGTTGGTTAATTGCCTTAGCAGTAATAAGTTTTTTAATTATCTTAGGAATCCAGGCCTTTTTTTTGTGAAAAAATAGTGAAATTAATCAGACTAGATTAGAAATTGAGCATAGTGGAAGTTTAGAGGAGAGGAAGAGGAAGCAGGAGGAAAAAGATAGGTTGGATAAGGAGCACAAGGAGGCACAGATTAAAGCCACTCGCGGCTGGGAGGCCGACAGTAGTCATTATAATGTACAGGGGCGTCCCGAGGTTAATGATTGCATGGAAGTCGAAGGAGTAGATGAACCGAACTCTTTTCCCGGAAAGTTACTTTTCTCTCCAGAAATCACTAATTTTTTTAAAGATATTCTACAAGACATCGAAGATCTAGTCAGATTTGGTGAAGTTAACCCAGAACTAGACGAAAAACAAGATGGCAATCATCTTCATTTCAAAAGACGCAATATGGTCATGTATGGAGCTCCTGGTACCGGAAAAACTGAATTTATTAAGCAATTAGCTCGTATCATCCAGGAAAAATATCCCACTTGAATTGAAACTGAATTAGATCCTAATAATCCTAATTATGAATTATTACAAGAAATTGAAAGGAAGCCGCCTTGTATTATTCAGATTGATGGTTCGACCTTAGCAACTGGCGGAAAAGCTATGCCCGGTGGCGGTCAGCCTGATTCTTATCAAAAATTAGTGGCTATTATTAAAAAGGCTAAAGAGGAATATTATGGCGATCCTTATAGCAAAAAACCTTATATTGTTTTCGTGGAAGAAGCTGACCAAGGACTTAATGTTATGACCTCAGGTATGGCCGGTAAGCCAAATAACCTGTTAGAAGACTGAAAAAATTTCTTATCAACCCCCCGGGATAGCGAAGAATTAAAAGGGGAAGCCCAAGACAAAAACAGTTGCATTATTATTGCTACCAATAATTACGAGATAATTGACCCCGCTTTATTTCGCCGCGGTAGGTTAGGTAAAAAATTGAATTTTAACTGGAATCCTCAATTATTAAAAAGATATTTAGCCATTTGGGGAATTTCCACCCCTAATCATGAAGGGTGACAATGAGATAATAATCCCGAGCCTGAGGAATTATATAAAGTATGTACCAAGATTGGTTTTGATGTAGCCAAGACGGAATTAGCTAAGAATTTACCGATTATAATTAATTCTTGGCAAAGACTAAACGAAAAAGAACGAAAAATTAAGGAGCAAGAATTAGGTACAAGGAAAAATGAGCGAGACCAGGAAATTTGTAATTGACTATTGCATTACCTCTTTACTTTTCATCAGTATAATAATAAGAGACAACTAGATTATCTTAATAACGCCAAGAAAATTCAGAGATACGATTATGGTCATGCTTATCGGATGGAGGAGTTGCAGAGAGCTTTAATAAGCAACTTATGTAATAATTTAATTGCTTTCAAAAATGCTCTGGAAAATAGGTTAAGTGAAATAAGGGGAGAATTAGCGGCTAATTTTCAAGAGATAAGTCAGTTGCGGGGAGATTTAACAATTCTGAAATCCGAATTGAAGCAAGCCGAGCAAAATGTTGAAAATATTAAGAATAAGACCAATATGATTATTGAACGACTAACTAACCAAATGAATTTAAATAATCAAAATATTGCCCGTGATTTAAGTAGTGGCATCAGTAGTTTGCAGTTCCAGATTAACAAATTGACCGGGATTAGCGAACAATTGGCTAGTAAAATTAGTAGTAGCACTAGTTCTTCCAGTAGTGGTGGGGTTTCGGTGGAAGAATATAATCAGTCGGTTCGTAAGTATAATAGTCTACAAAGCAAGATTAGTCAACATTTAGATAGAATTACCAGTTACTTAAACAATAATCGAGGCAATATTGATATAAATCAGGTAATTGACTTGATTAATGGGTTGGCTAGGGAAATTTAGTATGCCTAAAGAAATAAAAAAGTGGTTTACAAAAAAAACAGAATATTTACTAAACGCTAAACAAGCAGGGGAAGCATTGGAATTATTATCTAGTCTAGAAGATAATAGTGTAGATCTTATTTTCTTGGATCCGCAATATGAAAAAGTAGCTAATGTATTGAAATTGGCTTATCCTTTATATCCCCAAAGTGATTATCAAATAATGAGAATAATTGAACAAGTGGGCAGAGTATTAAAACCCTCCTCTTTTTGCTTATTGTGAATAAATAAAGGCCTACTGGGTAGTGACCGCATCGCAGCCTGATTAATAAAATCCTCCTCACTTAAAATAGTAGACTGTTTGGTGTGATATAAAAAAAATACCTTAGGATTAGGAACCTGATTACGATCTAATGCCGAATTCTGCTTTTTATTACAAAAATATCCTACTACGGGCAAGAAATTTACTAACCGGGCTTTTGGAACTGTATGAGAGGAGAATCAATTAGCCGTTAGCCAAAAAAAGCATCCTCACCAAAAACCCAAAGGACTAATAAAAGCTCTGGTGGAAGCTACCACAATAGAAGGAGATTTAATTGTTGATCCGTGTGCTGGGAGTTTTATTGTTCTGGAGGTTTGTAGGGAGTTAGGGAGAGATTATTTAGGGTGTGATTTGACTTTTCAAGAAATGGAAAAATTTCTGGCCTCCTAACCAATACTCCCCTCATACACATACTTCCTAACTATCTAAACTGGATTCTCAGTTCAATAACCCCAATCATTTTTATGAGAATAAGTTTTTTAGCCACGACATATTTAACAGAGCGATTAACTTGTGAGAGTTCTTTGAGGAGGGGCATATTAATCTAATCTCTTGGTCAACAGCAATAACCTATTATCATAATTACTTAACCCTTAAACAAGCTCGACAAATATAAGAACCATCGTTAAGTTTTATCTCCGCTCCAGCTTGCTGGCAGAATTGACAAATAGAGATAAAATTAATAGAACATGCTTGAACTACTTCTTGGGCATCTAATTTTCATCACTGATTGCTTAGTTAATCCACTTGTTCTTTGGCAGTTTGGATGATTTGTAATCCTTGAGTTAGTTTAAGAATTCTTTATTCATAGTGTTTACTTTATTTTAATCTTTCAGATAAATTATCCATGTTTAATTTTCTCTAAATCCCGTCCTAGATTTTGAAAGGGAGTTAAATATTGGGGATATTTTTCACTTAATTCCAGTAATTCACTCTGTAAGTCTTGTTTATACTCGGCTCACTTAAAATCAGGATCGTTTATTTCATCTTGTCAATCATCTTGATTTTCCATAATTTTTAACTGAGTTAAAACTCTTTGAGGTAAAGTAGGTATCTGCCGACAAGTAGGCGGACAACCGGCTTTTTGGCAAGAGTTTTTTAGTTCTTGGTCTAATCCTTGGAGGATGGTTTTTACTTCTTGATTTTGGGTTATTACTGTTATTAAATTATTATTATTTACTTTTGGCATATCTATTTATTATATTTATATAACAATATATTTTAGGAGTTTGGACAAGAGCATTTGTGATTAGAGTTGAAAGTTGGCAGTTAGTGACCGACTAATTTTGAAAACTCCAAATTAGTTTTTCCCGAGCAGATGGGTCATTAACAAGACGGGCTTTCAATTCCTGAGTATCATGAATAAAAATATTTTCTTCCCCAAAAAAGGTTACTTGCTGATACTTAGTAATATGATGTTTATCTGCCTGTTTTAAGATCTTTTCGGGCAATTCCCCTTTCACATAAATACAATCACTCCTAATGGCCAAGACATTTTGAGGCAGGAATTGTCGATAAAGATAGTAGGCCTTTAAAATAGCCAAATTAATTACTGCTAAGTTGAAAGGATGATAATGATAACCGCCAAAATTATTTTTACCCAAATATCCATTTAGACTATTAATCAACATCTTGCCCTTTTTCTCATCAACTTTTTTTATTTCTTTACAATAATTAAGAAATTTATCTACACAACCTTTTTTATGAGGGAAGATTCAGAAATTTTTATAATATAATTTGCCTTTTTTACCATATTGGTGATTAAAAACTTTTAATAATTTAGTATGTAAAAAATGGTAAGGTCTTAATTTGGTTCTTACTTTTCCATCATCGCTATCAGGTAAAAAAGGAATTTGATTATTTTTTATCACCGCATCTTGTCGAGCATAGAAACTCACAAATCCCTCTTTGCCCTCTTTTAATTTTTGCCCTATCACCTGCGGATCAGTTACTAACTCCGGACTGCCACACGGCAAAGGATAATCCCTCATAATATTAGCATAACAAGATTTAATATCAATTTTAGTTACTTGGGTAAAAGTCCCAGTTTGGAGATTTTCAAAGCGGGGGGGGAATTTTCAGTGATTACTAAGGTTAAAAAAATCTTGCCCTGTCCGAGGATGACTTTTACTAAATTCAGGTACTAGTTCAAATAATAATTTAATGGCTTGGGTGCCTAGTCCTTCTGGATGTTCTTCAGTTCCCCCCCGGATTTCTTTAATAATGGCACGGCCAATCCGATGGGTTCTTTTCTTTTGGTCAGTAATAAATTTTTCCTCTTCACCATATAGGTTAATCAAGGGTCAAGTGCTGGTATCACAGTAAACTATCAAAGGATAATTAGATATTTCTTTTCAAGAAATTTCCCGTAGCCCGGGGCTACTAGGCTTAATTATTTTATTTTTTCAGTCTAATCAGTACGTGGTTTTTTTCATATTATTAATTAGTTAGTGGTTTTTTTCATCCGCGATGCCTTTTTTTTGATGGCTTACTAAATGTCCCAATATGACAACTCCCCCAATCCCCCCCTTTAATTTTATCTCTCCTCCTCTCCCCTTCCACACTAAAATGCCACTGCTTATTAGCATCAGCATGTTGGATTTGACCGCATAATCAGGTCTTGTAGGTATACAACCAAGGACAATGCTTAGGTAACACCGGAGGATGATATTCTCCATACAACAAACAAAATAAACAAAATCAGGCTGAGGTGCCTTGGTTGGCAGCACAATCTCCCATACCCATCGCCTCCACCCAACACAAAGCCTTATCCTTCTTCAACCTCCAAGTCTGAATCTCCAAAGCACTCCCTTCTT